GTTTAAAAAAAATAGAGGGGCACCTGGGTAGCTCAGTTGGTTAAGCGTCCGCCTTCGGCTCAGGTCATGATCCCAGATCCTGGGGTCGAGCCCCACATCGGGCTCCCTGCTCAGCAGGGAGCCTACTTCTCTCTCCCCCTGCCATTCCCTCTGCTTGAGCTCTCTCTCTCTCTCTCTGTCAAATAAATAAATAAAATCTTAAAAAAAAAAAAAAAGACATCGTTCTATATATTCTGAAAACCTTGAGTTTTCACAATTAAGTCTTCTAACTCCACTTTTATTCCAGCTTCTCCCTTTCCATATTTGCAATTCCTTTTTCCAAAGGTGAGAAACCTGGCTCCCCTGAACTTTAATTACTTATTTAAACACTTCCCTTATATGTAACCAGTCTCTCACCTTTGAAACTACCACCTCCCTCACGTAGATGTCCTCCTTACTCCACTCAGGCCATGAAAGCACATGGATGTTCTCCCCACCCTGTTCAGTCACAAAACCTCATGCCAAGTTACTCTACATACCCCCTTCCCTGTATACCTTCTTCAACCTGTTCTATCTCTAACACCCCCATGCCAGGCCACTGGCCCCCATGTGAATGCCAACTTTACCCTGCTTGGGCTCCAATACCCACCCCAGGCCATCCTACATGTGTACCCTTTCACTCTGCCAGGCTGCCCCATACATGGGCATCCTCTTCACTCTGTTTATAAATAATGAAATTTTTAAGTTAAAGGAGACACTGGTAGAACTTTTAGTCTAAGGACATTCTAATACCTTGAAGTCCTTAGCCAAACCCTAACTTTATTAGAATATGTGAAACATACTCAAGGAATAGGGATTCCTCCTTTTCTACCCACAAGGCCGGTCATCAATGTAATCATTGTTTAAAAGAGAAAGTGTATCAGTTTTTCATTATTAAATATCACACACATGTACAACACACTCATACTCTTTCACATCACTCATTTTCCTCTGAAGATCAAAAATCGTCAAAAGAGAATAAAATTATTAGTATTTTTAATGAAAAGCACTGACCATCACATTCTGTTGCTAGAAAGATTCTTCTGATGTAACAGGAATAATGGCAACAACCAAGGGCATACAAGGAAGTTATTAGGGAAGACAGAAGGAAGGAGAGAGATGAGAAAATAAGAAAGTGAAAAGGTAGGAACAGGGAAGAAAGAAAGAGGAGACCTAAGAGAGAAAAGGCAGAAGAGGGAGGCTAACTGGGAGACACGTGAAAAGACAGTGGCAGGATGCCATTCAGGAGAGTCTGACTTGGCCACCAAATCCCATGGCAAAGGGCTCTAACCCTGTAATCAGCCCCAAAGCAGTGTCCCTGTCAGAATGAAAACATATCCTCTACTCCAAGATTGCTGACAAGTAATGAAGAAACAGTTACTTCATACACTTCGCTAATACACAACTGAATGAAACTGACATCTAGAAGTTTGGTACAGCCAGCTTCTGGATTTTTATCTATATATTTGCTTAATGACACCTTTAAATGATTCCTATTTTGAGAGTCACTTTTGGAAACTACACAAATATCAACGTCTGCAAATGGTGAGAAGGTTCTCGGTCAAAACTTCAGTGAGGCAAAATATGGATAATATATGTATAAGTGGAACACTTGCAATGTTTAACATCACACCTGATTTTGCTGCTTTGATAAAGAAACTACATATCCTATAAATTATGATGTCAATGTTTCGGATTCAATCCCCTACCAGCCATCAGAAAGTGTTATCTAGTCTTGTCTAGTGTTATGGTTCTTGTCAAAACCAGGGTATTAAACCATTCCCTTTTTAAAAAGTGTAACAGAATATAAACTTTTTCTCTATTACACATATGGTTGCTGGTTTTCTAAAAAGTGTTCTTGAAACACAATAAAACTTAAGGCAAAACTTTTAGAGAAAAGGAATTCCCATTCTCAGAGTAACTCAATAGAGAGTTAATTCGTGGTTTAGGTTAATTGGCAGATATTTTTAGCTGAGGTCAATCTTTATATACTTCCTACAGGTGCTATTATAGATACTATTGAAAAGATCAATAGAGAACATTAGTTACCTTCCCAACACCCATTTCTCTTTCTTCCTTCCCAATAGAATCCTGATTTTCTTTGGATAGTGTTGCCCTCCCCCACTCCACCCCAACCCAGTGACTGAGGAAGAACAGACCTCACTGTCAAGTTGTTCCTGCTTCATTGAAAGCACTCAGCACATGGCATTGCTCTGGTCCCTGTTGTAAGTAGAGAAGTCACGTGGTCCAATTATAGTTGGGGGAAAGGGTTTTCTCTCATTTAGGATATGAACAAGTATGTATGTTGCATCAGATAGTGCTGGTAACTATTTTATAACCTTAAGAGAAGCAAGTCTAAATTCAACACTGTCACACTGAGGATTACAGAGCAGAAATATAGGAAGAATATGGATTCTTGATGACCATCATTGACTTACTATGTCACCAACCTGACCAGAACTAATTCTACTTCTGCACTTTCTGGTTATGTAAGATAATAAACTTTTTTACTATATGATTTTTTCTTGAATTGGGATTTTGTATTTGCAGCCAAAAGCATCCTAGTTGATGAAACCATGTCTCAGCTCCAGTATGAAAGCCAGAATTGCAGGGAGACATCGATGCCAAACTTGCAGTGCTGGGAAAAGTGCTTTTATAGGTGACAGTCAAAAGTTACAAGGCCTTCTCAGTTTCCCTACAGAAAGAAATCCGAAAATAATTGGCAGTACTGGAGATTTCTCTCACAGATTCCTTCTATTTAAACAACTTTAAAACTTAAATATGGACTCATAGTCCTTTCTTTTCTGGCATAGAGGAAATCAATAATGCCAGCTTTGCAAAGGTAAACTTATTGATTTGAGGACAAAGGAAATGATGCTATATAAATTCAACCCAAAAGAGTCCTGGAAAATTCTGATATTTTTTGATAACAACCTACCTTTGAGTTATAGTTTTTAAGCACTGGCTGCCGTTAAAATCAAAATTTCAAAGTCAACTTAGGGCCCAAGATAACTTTCATGTTGCTATGACAACCTCTTTTTCCAGTTTAACATTAAGTTAAACATCAAGTTTAACCTTAATTTGGGCAGAGTTAATATTTACTTTGGGAGTTGTGGGGGAGGGGGGAGTTGTACAAATTAGATTTATTTAAATTATTTCCAGAAAATCACTGTTAGATTTTATGCAATCTTTTCCATAAATAAAATATCCTGTGATGAAAATCAATTTCCAGTTTAGCCCCCTGTCGGGCTCCCTACTTAGCTTCTCCCTCTGCCTCCCCCACCCACCATGTTCTCTCTCTCTCTTTCTCTCTCTCTCAAATAAATAAATATTTAAGAAAAATCAATTTCCAGTTTAGTAAAATAAATCATATGCAAATTTGTTACATATATGTTTTATATACTGTTCTGAGGAGAAAAATTCCATTTTCATCTAATTCACAAAGGAGTCATAACTCCAAAAGTTAAAATTATTGCCAGAGACTGAATAATAACTGTAGGTGGTCAGAGAATTTATCATGAAAAAGGGAAAGGAGATAAAAGGAATAAAATAAGGCGTATTTTTAAAGTTTAGTCATGGTAAATCTAAGGAAGGACAGAGACAAGGAAAGTGCCTGCTGGCTATGACAAGTGGTTGTATATATGTTTGAATCTGTTACAGTTTGTTGTGGGAAACACAACAAACACATAGGAAGCCACTAGAGCCTTTAAGATATTTCATGACAGTCTGTTGTGGTACGTGCACAAATACGATGTGTATCTGTCAGTCCGAGTCCTGGCAGGAAACCCATACACAATCAAAAAGGGTATGAAGAAATTTAAACAAAAGGAATGCAGACCCCTCCTCGACTTACAATGGGGTTACGTCCAGATAAACCCATCCTAAACCGAAACTATCCTAAGTGAAAAATGCGCTTCATATACCTAGCCTACCCAACGTCAGAGCCTAGCTTAGCCTCCCTTAAACAGGCTCAGAACACTTACGTTAGCCTACAGGTGGGCAAGACGTCTAACTCAAAGCCTGTTTTATAATACAGTGTTGACTCTCACGTGTGATGGATGAATGCTGTACTGGAAGTGAACAACAGAATGGTTGTAAGTGTGCCCGTTGTTCCCCCTCATGCTCGCCTGGCTGGCTGGGAGCTGTGGCTACCACCGTTGCTGCCCAGGGTCAGGAGAGAGCTCCGTACCACAGGCCACTGACCCGGAAAAGATCAAAATTCAAAAAGTGGAGAACAGTTTCTAGTGAATGAGTATCGCTTTTGCGCCATGGTTAAATTGAAGAATCGTAAGTCCGACCATCATAAATCGGGGACCACCTGTATTTACAAAAAAGCAGGCAGGGAAGCTGGAGGGCTGATGAAGGAGCCTAGGACTGACAGCAGGAAAAGCTATCTGCACTCCTAAACGAGAAGAGGCAAAGGAGGGCGTTTTCTCAGAAGCGAAACTAGTGAGACAAGCGCACCTGACAGGAGCTATGACCTTAGGTGAGGGATGCAGAGACTCCCAAACAGCAGCCCCACGGGAAAGAGGCCAGGAAAATAAACACACCATCCTCATTCTCTCCCCATCCTCTGACTTCCTTGCCAAAGCCTTTCGTTGACTAAATCCACACAAAAACTGAGCGAAGAGGAGCTAGACTATCCTGTCTGAAGAGGCCAGACCCTGAGGCCCCAAATAGGGTCAAGGGTGGAAAAGGAATGTGACAGAGCAAACAGATACCCCCAACACAGACACTGCCCAAATAACAACACATGGGGGCGACTAAAAGATGGAGACATTTGGTTCTGCAACAGCTTTGGTACACATTTTGGGCTAAGGTGTATATTTTAGAATCCTTTCCCTTTTGTTAATGTTAGTTTTTAGTCATTATACTTTATGTTGACAACTTTTGAATATAAACAATTACATATTTCATAATCATTAACGTTGTAACAGTAAAGACAATCCTTTTTCCCTCAGGCAAAAATACCCTTCTAGTTCCATAAACCTGGCTCGACGTTATCACTGTCAAAGAGGGAAGTGTTTATGTAAACTTAAGACAATTTGTGTTGACTCCATCTCCAAACTGTACTCTTTCACACTGGATTCATATTTCTCTTTTGAATTGTATGAACATAAATTGTGTGTGGAGTGTGGGTAAGTGTGTAGGTATAGTTTACGGAGCTGACCACTGGAAAGTCCATGTACACAGATGATCTCAAATGCCACCACCAGCTCATCATGTCTGTCTTTTCAGGAACTGATTAAATAGGTTGTGTGGTGCAAATGGAAAGTGTTCTGGACTTTAGGTCTGGAGGCACTGGCTATGATCAGTCTTCTCATTAACAAGCTGTAGGACTCTGGCAAGTCCCTTCACCAACTTCTTTTATTTCCATAAAAGGGGTTGAGGCACAGAGTCTCTGATGTCACTTCCAGCTTTAAAATTCTGTGGTTCTCATGCATGTCCCTAATTACCATGCCTAATAGGAACCATCAGTTTTGCTGCTTCTTGATTGCTTTAATTTGAAAGGGCCTTTTTCAAACTGACATAGAGAATGCTAAATACGCTATTTTAAATTAAAATTTGGATAAAGAAACTAGCAGATGACATTAAAACACAGAAAATCCTCAGTGACTTTTTGAGTCTAACAATTACAGCTTCCCATGAACCTTAACATTTCCCTGAATTGCAAAAATTATGTTTACCATTTCACAGGTAAATATTTACATGCCTAAGTAATGATTCCACAAAGCTATGGGAAATGAAGAGGAAAATTTATGCTCTAGAGTAGACATGTACTTTGTAATTCAGCTCCACTGAAGAAACTCTCCTTAATATCCTTAATATCTTCTTCAAGGTCCCAGAACAAAGGAAAGAGCTATTTGTCCACTGCGAAGGCTGAAGTATTCCATGCAAGCTGTCAGATGGGTATTCAAAAAACATTACTGCATTGTATAAAGTCCTATGTATTTAATACCTACTATACACTGTATTAAGTGCATTATGTGTATTGTTTAATTCTCACAACTGTCCTTTGACATTATCTCCAATTTTCTGGTCTCAGAAAAGTCAAGTACCTTAATCATAGACAGCAGCTAGTAGGGGACAGAGCCAGCATTTGAACCTATGATTCTAAAGCCAAGACCTTCATTCTTGTTACTCCGTTGTCTCTGGCAACACTGGCCAGACACATCCCCCACATTTCAAATACTTCATTGTTTTTCATAGATAATGAAACTGTTCACTTAACTTTGCTTTCTCCCTTGAGTGATGCCTCTGCACACTGAGCCCCTCCACATGTCCCTCCAGCAACATCCACCAATCCCTCAGGAATGAGAATGAAATAGGCTTGGCCTCAAATATCAGTGTTCCCTGTAACAGGGACAATTGACACATCAATGTAGCATGTCTTTAGGCATGAAAAGCCCTATCTCTTTTCTCTCTTCTTAATTATAGACCACATTTTTTCATAAGTATCTACCTCCTCTCTCCTTCTGCTGTAAGTGTCCAATTGTCCTGTATCCAATTCTCTCTAGAAGACATCTACCTTCTAAATGTACTGTAGAAAATCTTTGATCTTTACTGGTCTTTGAGAAATAAAGAAAGATTAGAGGCACTGCCCTAGACCACTCCACTTCTGTCTTAGACTGGATCTCCTGAAAACATTCTGAGATGAAAAATTGTGTGCATAATGTTGGTTGGAGAGTGCTCTCAGGAGATACACCTGCAAAGAAGTGAGGAAAGAACTGAGGGAAGGAGGACCCAGGGATGGGTCAGATCTGGAAAGGGGTCTGGGATGGAGAAGCATGGAATGCTCTACACCCTGTCAGACTGGTGGACCTAACTTGTGTCTTCAGTTTAATTACCTGTTTCTCTTCCAGACAAAGGGTTTTTAAGGTCTAAAGGCCAGTCTGAAATCTGACTATGCAGAATTTAAAAGATCCTGAGCTTTCTTTCCTGGGAAAATAAATGGAATAAAGAAAGATTATGAAATATGAAAGTTCTAAAAATAATAGCCTGAAACTGGGTAATTTGAATGAAAGCTAGTCAAATCTGTATGGAATATAGCATATTACTGATTCATTATCAGATCACATAATTTAATTATATTCTACTTACCATGCAGTTTTCACACCCTAAACCTCTCAGTGTGAAGTCTATGTTGTCTGATTAGAGAAAGCAGAAAGAGAAAGAAAGAGGCCATGCAAAAGAGAAGCTTAGTTAAGGATGGCAGACTGCATTG